TACAGATATTATAGGTGAGATAACATTGAAACAGAAGGTTTAGATTTTACCCCAGCACTTTAGCTGAAGACTCACCATTGATACTGGGACTATGAAATTTGCACATATGTATCTGAGTACACAGCACACATCTGCAACACATGATGCCAATTTAAACACCTATAGAAAGGGTACACAATTAAGCTGTCCATACCTAATCTAAGGTTTTAATTGCTCAGTTGAAAGCCCCTAGAAATAAAGTTAGCTTCTGAAGATTTAATTTATGAAATATGCTTCTGTACTTGTTTTGGCAGTTATCTAATAGATGTACAAGTTCTGGTTTGCATCAGTCTGTGGTTCTTTTAAACTCAAAGCAATTTAATGTTACATGAAAGACTAACTCATTCTAGGAATTCAGATTCCCTGTTCTGCCTGTACACTAAAATTTGTGTATGTTGGTTTACTACAAGATTTAATAATGTGGTTTTGGGGGGGAAAATCAGAGAGAAGTGGGAAATTAATTTTATGTCCTGTCCAAGCCTGAGACATGAAGAGTTTTCTGTCTTTACCAGAAATTTAAAAAAAACACCACCACAAACAGTTTTGTTCTTAGAAGCACAAGTTTCAGCAGAGCCTATGTGTGCTTTGGATATTTTAAATTTCTTTTAAAGCTAATTTTTGAATTTTTAATTTTTGAAATTTAAATCTTGTGCCAAATTCACCTTTGATCTCTTTGAGTGAATAATAATAATAATAATAATAAAAGGGTTTTGATAAACTGATGTCTTATATTTTTGTAGCTTCACAAGTGTACTGACATGGTGCTGCCAAATCAGCACAGGGCACTCTGACTCCTGACTGCCTTGATTATCCCCTGGTCACAGGAGGGACACAGGGCAAGTTGGTACCACTAGACGTAAGACTGGGAGGACACAGGTGCCACAGGTGTGGACAAAGAAGTGGGCTCAAATTCTTATAAAGGGAACTAGTTTAAAGCATGCCACAAATCAAATAAAAGGAACCCAGGTCAACAAAGTGAAAACGCCCTTCTGCTCTCCTCTGCATCTCCAATTACAGAAGTCTTTGCTCCAATTTATTTCTCTTTGGAAACAACTTTTTACAGCTGCACATGGCAAGTACTTAGCTAGCGAGTGAAGAAGGGAAGCTGGAAAGAATGATTATTAATGGATTCTGCCAAAAAAATAGGCAGGGCAAAGTCTTTAGTGGCTTAGCACAAGAACTAGTAGGACTTCCCTAGGCAAAGAGGAGGAATGTCCTGCATTGTTGTCCTCAGAAGGGAAACAGTGCAGCTGTATTGCCTTCTGCAGCAATCTGGGCCAGACCTCGAGGAAACATACAGCACCCCAACTGTCTACTTGTTGATGTGGTCAAGTCCACACACATTAAGAGAGAGCATTCACCCAAGTCGTTGTTAGTTGGAACCAAGAGATGCAATTCAGCCATCTGCATTTTATTTCAGATATTTGTATCTCCAACCCTTTTCCACGACCTTCAACAACAAAGTGTTTCCATGCAGCAAGTGCAGCCAAGTGTGCATGTGGCTGCCTGCCCTGGAGCACACAGGCTTACCAGTGAGCTCAGGGGACTGTAGGGACATCACAAAGTCATATCTAGCTGACTGCATAGGTCAGACCTGGGCAGATGTGTCAGGCAGGTGATTACGCTAAGAGGGACAGATTCACATCTTGCCTAAACTTGGTGGGACGTGCAAGCCATTGCTCAATGGGAGACAAGGTACCCCAGCCAGCTGCTATGGGACCAGCAGTGGCTGCTGCTTCCTGCAGGGTTTTGGAAGTTTGCATTGCACCTTTGTGTTAGCTGGCAGCTCTGAGACAGGAGCTCATTGGGAGCTCAGGGCACAGCTGGTTTTAGAAGTTATTGCCTCCATGCCAGGCAGCAGACCTAGCTGAGCTCTTGCTGGTATTCCAAATGCAGCTTTTTGTATGAAAAGTAGTTTTGTGCTGTTTAATCTAAAAAAAACCCCAAAACCCCAAACCAGTATGTATGGCATACCACTGCCAAGAAAATACATACCCACAAAGCCAAAAGCAGCCACATGCCATAATTCAACACTTGCATTTCCTCTTTAGAACATCCATTGACAAGTCCTCTTACTCCACAGGACTGCTCAAATTTGTCTTTGCTAATGTCAATCTACCAGCAACTTGGAGGAGAGAACAAATGGGTCACTGCAGGCTGGCTCAGTGCAGGTGCCCTGGAACAGCAGGTACTGGAGGGTGGCAGGTGATTTCCTCTTAAACTTCTTTGTAATAAGAGCAGCTGTCACAGTTATTAAACCCTAGCTAAATTTAGTACTACATCTGCTGAACCCTGTAAATATGGCTGAAACCCTGATGAAACTGAATGGTTTGGTTAGCTCGCATGGGCAAAACCAAATTGGATTTATTTTTAAGTAAGTTTGCTAAACTTGCACCTGGCAGACTGAAATATGACTTAACATCTCTGCTTTCTAAACCAGAACTAGTAATTAAACACAGAGTTAAGAATCACTTCAAGTCTGAGGCCACAAGCTTCCAGATAAAAAGAAAACTTTTTCCAAACTCAGAAAGCTGCTTTATCTGGATCAAATCCACAGCTGAAATGAAGCTTGCGTTGGTTTTTTGGGTCATAAGATGTTTTTGCTCTTATGAAATACGCTTTCTCTTTTAAACTGCAGTCCTGATGACCGGCAGTCCTCAAACAAGTGATGGTGCAAGGATCACTGTTTTCTTCTGTATCTGCCAAGGCCCTTATAAGCAGGCTGGCTCACAGAGGGCTGGGCTAAAGGTGGTCCTGGTCCAGGCACCAACACACAGAGGAAAAGCCCTTCTTCTGCACAGAAGGGGTATGGTAGCGTCAGGGCTGCTGTTGAACAAAGCCTGAACTCTGCACCCAAACACTGCTTCAGGTGAGCTCTGATCCATCAAAACTTGCTAGCAGGAAACACTGTTCAATGCAGACCAAACTAAGGTTTTGCAAGGTAGCATGACCTTGAAGTTTGCCACTAGCACCAGAGTTTTGAGATCCATGATAAAAATGAGCAGTTTTCTGTCTTCTCACAACTGCTCACCTGAGAAAGCAGCACAGCTTGCCTTTCCAGGTCTCCCTTTTACACTGGGGGCAGACATGATCCTTACCTTGCCACCTGCTAATGATAACGACCCAATACTTTCCCACAGCGCACAGTATAATGCAGCCATTTTATCTGTTGACTTCCAAATTATGAGAGTAAAATCTCCTCAGGAAACTCAGCAACAGCAGGTCACCTTCTCTCCCTGAAAACTGGAGTATGGGCTATACTCTACCATACGTATGGAAGTGTTTATTGCCTTTAAAATAACTATTCAGCTTTCATCAATAACCAGAACAATTTAAAGTCACTGTCAACAAGGAGACTGGAATACTGAATGACAGCAGGGCTGGAAGAGGGCACCTACCCTTCCCCTGAGTCACTCACTATTGATTATATCACTCCTGGCCGGTATTTATCTCTACTCGCCCAAAAAGTCTCCAGTGATTGAAATTCTGCAATATCCCTCAGTCGTCTGCTTAGCCTTACAGCTAATGAAGCTTTTCCCAGTACCTAATCACAGCCTTTGCTGCGATTTAATTTGCTATTTCTGATCCTATTTACAATTGGTGTGTAAAAGAATTTATTCCTTTTCTCTTCATGGCTATGTGAAAACTGTTTACATGCCTCTTTGATCTCTCTTCTTTAGGCTAAGCAATCGTATTTCCTCCAGTCTTTCCTCACAGGCTGTATCTGGTCTTTCTCTCATCATTACTACTGTTCCTAGGATGTTCCATAATCCCACATCTTTAACTCAGTATTGCATTGTATGCTCTTTTGCAGCATCCAATTTATTAATTTGAAATAAAATGTGTCAATTTAAAAATACTCATATTTTCCCTACCTGCATTTCTCCCTCCTTCAAACACACCTTTCTTTCTAACCCACAGCATCCAAACAGGTATTGTCACACAGTAGTACCATCTTTTTTTGGTCCTCTAATGTGGAATAACTCTCACAATATCAGACTTTGCACCAATTCTCATTGTGGCAGCAGTTCATCATGCTTGGTATGCCTTGTGGAGCCACAAATGGAGCAAGACCTTTGTCCGCTCCCAGGGCTAACCCTTCCCTCTCATGTCTCCCAATCCCAACACCCAGATTTCTCCAGACAGTGGTTTCCAAAGCTAGTGCGCTGCTGAAGCTACAGCAAAGCATTAACACACCTGGACCACCAAGAGACCATATTGAAACCCAAAATGGTTTTGTGCTCAAAACCAGAGAACCAAAATCCCAAGTGCCTCTGGTATCCTCCCAGCATTAACTTCTACCTGTCCCACTAATCACAGTAAGCCACTGTCAGGGCTCACAACACACTGCATTTGAGACAGGAAATAATATCTGATCTGCTGGAATATACTCTAGGTAAGCACACTGCAGCCTATCTAGAGCATAAGTTTTCTGCTTGAACCTCTGCTTGAGCCTTTGCTCAGTAGCACCAAAGTCTGAACATTGCAGCCTTCACCATGCAGTTTTCAAGTGTATCATTTGCTCTGAGTCAGGACAATTATGAATTCACAATACCTGGTCAAATCATATCTTATGTCTCCTGACCTACTTATGAAGTCTTAAATCCCTCCACTGTTTTTCCTGTGCTACCGAAATGAAAAAATCCCCGCTGCACATGTTAAAAGCTTGCAGATCTAGCAGAAAATTTAATGTTAACCTAAGGCACCTAAATCTGACACTGCAAAAGGTGTGCCACATCAGAGCATGTCAGTAAACTGGCATTGCCATTAATCCTGCCCTGGAGGAGAATGGCTCTTACATTATCACACTGCAAATCAAGACATGAGATGGCTCTATGCCTTCAGGCTGTTACAGGTCAGGAATGACACACACCAGAGATGTTTCCCTATGCTACTGCTCACACAGTGACTCCTCCCCACTCCCATCCCTCTTCCTGGTGCAAACCCTTCGGGCTCTGTACCTTGTTACCAGCAGGAGTGATGCTCACACAGAACAGGAGGTCTGGCAAATTCAATACAGAATATACTTGAAGTTAATTAGATTGCAGTGACATTTTCCTGCACGTTCCTGCAAGGAAGAAAAAAAATGAACCATTAAATGTGAAACCACAGAGTCTGGGTATGTATCCATTATGCGTTTCCTTGTGCAACTGAAATTCTGCATGAGAAAATGGTAGTGTGTAAACAGGAGCCCGCCTCCATCAAAAGAGAAATCAGAACAGGAAAACACACTGACTGTGCTCTCCGTATCAGTCCCTGAGGCCAAAGGGCCTAGTTTGTACTCAAACAAAGTTAAGATAATTTACCTGACTTCAGCATAGCATAGTAAAAGCCAGTATAAATGGTGTAATGAAAGCAGAAAAGCATAAACACATGTGTAGATGAATGCGTCGGTAAGACTGAATGGAGTTATCTGCTCGTACAGTTAGCTGTTCCTCTTAAAAGGGCTTTGGCTCACCAACCAGCTTTGTAATAACAGGTTTCTATAGTTTAGTCTAGAGAGAAATGCACGCAAAAGCTGAAGCAAATCAGCTAAAAGTGAAACTGAACTCCCTCAACCTCTAGCTGCTTTTAACAGCTAATTACAAAAACGATTTGCAGAAGCTCCATTTAGGTGGGAAGGAATAAGAGGGGGAGGAAGAAAGAGTAGAGAATGGCCAGCAAGATGTGACAGAGACATGCTGCAAATAATGATTAATATCTCAGCAAAAGATACCCATGTCCATTTGATGTATTTAATATTAAAACAACAAAATGTCTTCAACAATCCAGTCAATTTAAAATAAATTGTGAGAACAATAATTATTCAGCATTTTATGGATTTTTTTCTGTTTAGAGATCAAAGTCTCAAGACTCCAGTTCCTTACTGGTATGTAACCTTTAAATACACTGCAGTGAAATGAAACCCACAAAGGGATGCTGCCATAAACTCCCTGAAGCTGGTCTGTGCAGTTCAGGTTTGCAATACTTGGCATTGCACATCTTCCCCCCCCCCTTGCAGAATTGGACTACCCTGTGCTGTGAATCCAAGAGCACAGTGGGCACAAAGTCAACAGAGAAATGCAGCTGAGTAGCTTTTGAGGAGCAAAACTGGCCAGTGATTCAAGTGGCATTCTGAGTGGTTTATTCTGTTTGTTTACAGAATTAAGGATACTTTTAAGTTGCTTTCATCTAACTTTGAAGCTCTGTCAAACTTAGACTTTTATAATAATACTGTCCAAGGGAAAGAAACCAAAATAATAATAAAAAATTACATAAAAATGATTTTTTTCTTCCATAGATGCTATGATTATGTACACACATATACATAGAGTCTTTTCTCCTTCTGAAATTCATTAAAAGAGGATGTGTTTTTCCCTCAACACAGAATTTGTCCCCATCTGGTTCCATTTTTTTACTATTTTCTATTTTTTTTCTGTGTGTTTCCTTCTCTCGCATTCCAATCCATATTTATTTCATGTTGTGTAGTCTGTAGTCTTCATTCCCTTTCCGCTTTTTGCGGATTTCCTTTTTAATTTCTTAGGGAAAAAAACACTCTTTCCCTGGTTTTCATAGTGCAAGCTGGTGGGATGGGCCCATTCAGAAATTCCCCCTCTCCCACACTCTCTCCCCCTCTTTCCCTGTCAGTCCTGATTGCCTGTGCTTACTCCTGGTAGCAGAGTGAAAGCGTCAGGCTTTTTTTTTCATTTAGGAAAGTCTATCAGGGTTTTTAATTCAGTTTCAAATACCTGGTGCAAGCCTCTGCCTGGAGGCTCAAATGTAGTATTTATGAGCCATTATATTTAGCTTAAAACAACTCCCAGTCTACTTGAGATGAGCTGCTATAAGGCAGGATTAGGCTGAAATGAAAATGTCTGCAGTGAGATTTTACTAAATTGCTTTTAAATCACATTCTTATTCAAACAGAGTTGAGTTTGACAGTGCTCTGGTGAAGGCCATAAACGCTAATAAAGCAGTAAGGCTCATTTGAGGCAGAACCTTGGCTCTTTTTGCAAAACCTGACAATTTTACAGAAGCAGAGGAGCCCAGCTAAGGCCAGAACCTTCTGAACATAAAACTCCAAAGCTCAAAACATAAAAGCAAGCTCTGCAAAGGCTGCAGCGTGTGAGAGCCGCAGAGCTGTTTACTGCCCAGAAACAGGGCCCTGCTATTCCCAAACTGCTGAGACCCTCAGCACCCTGCAGCAGAGCCAGACCCAGCATCCACCTCCCAGGGCAGAAGGAGGTAAGGACTTTCCAGCTCATGCAGCCCAGTCCTTCCTGAGCTGCTGCGTTCATTTCATGTAGATGTTTTTATGCTGAGGTCAGAATGAATGCACTAAGAGGTATGAAGAGAGCAAAAGAGCAGCATGACTTAATCTGCTTTTCTACAGAATCGAGGAAATACAGAAAAAAATATTTAGGAAGAAGCATAGGCAGTTTTAGGAATACCTGCCTGACACTCAAATCTCTGATTTTAATGTCTGGCATGCCCTTGGTAGAGCATCCGTCATTCCCAACACCTGCATTTCATGCTACATCACTGCCACTACCACTGTCCAAGCCCATTCACCTCACAAGCTGTGACCCTGCCCAGTGAGCAAGGGACACTGAACACAGCAAGCACCTTTGCCTTCCACCACTGCTACCTGGGCAGGCTGCGCAGCCACTACCTCCTCTTCCCATCACCTTCTCCCAGCACCACGTGTGCCAACGCTGCTAGTATCTGGTTTTAGTTCAGACCCTGTGCAGCATTACTACTACTACTATCTTCTATATTTTATCCACTTAAAGTTTATTTTCTTTGTAACTTTCACTCCTACTTTGCATTCAGCATTTTTAATTAATCCCAATTGCCTACTAATATTTAAAAGTAATGAATGTGGTTTTGTGCATGAATACAAAACGTACATCCCATTAAACAGCCTCACTCTGAGAGCTCCCAAGTTTTCCAGCACCAAAATGGGGCTGTTTCATCCCCAATATAGTGCTTTCCCAAGCCAAAACCTTCCAGCAGAGTAAAGCTGGGATGAATTCCTCAACAGAAATTATCAGAAATGAGAGAAAACTGTAAGAGTCTACACCAGTAAAATTAAGCAGAACAGCTATATACGTGGTACAGCTGAAGCAGGTAAAGTGAAGCTCTCACTACAGTCAGTTTAGCCTGTGCTTGGAAAAGCACTCTCTGGTATTTATTAACACTGACACTTCAAAATCCAGACCCTTTGCTCATTATGTGAGAGTCTTAACAAGATGGAGAAGACTTCATTCATGCTTCTAATGTGACTCAGGTCCACACGGCCATTGTACAGCAAAGCAAGGCAGGCTCCTAGCTTCTGACAAACCAAGCTAACTTACAGATGAGCTTCCTGTTGTTGCCCCATACGGTCCTGCTCTGGAAGCCCAGATCACCCACTGCTAACACAGCTGCCATATAGGGCACTGCTTACCCACCCCTGCCAAAAAGCTGTGAGAATACTTTTGCAGAACCCCTGTAGGATGGTTAAAGAGATATTCCAAGGGAACTAACCTGTGCTGTGTGAATCTGACGGAGGTCACCCAGTTCTAAACTTTCCCAGTGGCTTCAATCTTATTTCCTGTGGAGCGGCACGTGACACCACACTTCCTCACTGCACCTTGCAAGAATCACTTTGCTTACTCGGTAAAACCAGATGAAGAAATTATCTGTCCCTTACAGCGTGTTTAAGAGGTTTCTGCTCTTACGCTGACATTTCTGCATGGCCAAAGAGCTCTCGATTGCCTTCTGAGTCACGCCATGACTCAATGGACATTTTTGTACTATTTCTTTGTATTACTACCAAACACTGAATGTGATTCTGTTACAGCAGGCTCAGAGCCCCCCCACTTCTTTTAAAGAGGAAACAAATGCAATAGAGGAGAATGTAACTACACTGCAGGTGTGGGAAATTTCACTTCAAGGATACTTGCTTACCAAATTTTCAGAGTGGTAATGAATTGATGTATTTGAATAGATGCAGTTAGCACCAGTTTTCAGAAATATTTTTAATTTGAATAGAGAATGACTGAATGGCTTGGGTTGGAAAGGAGCTTCAGATCATCCAGTTCTAACCCCCTGCCATGGGCAGGGACACCTTCCACTAGACTAGGTTGATCGAAACCCCATCCAACCTGGCCTGGAACACTGCCAGGGATGGGGCAGCCACAGCTTCCTTGGGCAACCTGTACTAGTGTCTCACCCTACAACAAACAGCTTCCGCAGGAGTTTGAGTCCTACGAAAACCAGTTTATTACTTCAGAATAATATCGGTTTTCTTCTCAGTTGCAGCAATGTGCATCCATATATCCTTCAGGTTTGAAGACTACTGTATCAGAGGAGAGGAAGAATGGTCTTACCAGGATCAGCAAGGAGATACTGCTCTGCTGGAAGATGCTCCATGTGGAGCATGTTAAACACCCTTCAATAAAGCTAAAGGAGGGGGTGGAGATCAATTAGACATCTCTTTATTTAGTGAGAGTTGAAATAACAACAGCCAGTGCCTGAGGCACTGATCAGCCTGGCAAGGACTGAGTGAGGGTGGATGGGTTACATTGCCAGAGGGGTTGGAAACTGATTGCAAACATCTGTGCTGAGGCACAGATTGGATTTAGCTGCACCTAAGTGTGGGTGTGAAGAACCTGAAGGCAGGAAGAGAGTGAAAAGACAGTGATGCTGCACATTTGGGCATCACTGCACCCTTGTTTATGGTCATGCATTTCTCCCACCATGCCCCGTAGCTGTCTCAGGACTGTACCGAAGAATTGATCTAGTGTTCGTAAGTGAATTAGTTTTGTTCTCTTTTTCTCACTCTCAGGCAGCAGGGGACAACTGCTATCATGGAGCTGGTTCTGCTGCTACCCAAGCTGTAACACAGAACCACACCTTACAGTGAGAGGCCCAGAGCAAACCAACAGGAGCTGCTTCTGTACCCGCTGGCTGACGCATTCTATGCAATTTCTATGTAAATTGAGAGGTTTCCACTAAAACTGTCATAGAATCAAAGAATAATTAGGGTTGGAAAGGACCTTAAGATCATCAAGTTCCAA